AGATAAAAAATCAGCCACTCCACAGGGCAATAATTGTCACCAAAAATATGACACCATTCATATCCATTTCTACAGACAATATCATATGCATTATTATCAGTTTCACACAGCTTGCAGAGTTATAAAATAACTCAGAGAATGAAATGTGGAGCTAACCTGGAAAGGAGAGCTAGACAGGACCCCCAGCAATTTTTTTTTTTTTGAGTTCCCATTTCAGTCTTGCAAAATATGTCAATGTTGAGGGTTATAAATCAGGATATATACACTTTCTTCTCCCATCCTTCCCTCCACCCACCCACCCTCTGATATCTGGAACATTCTCAGCAGCTTGTAGGTCACAAGATTTGGCACCCTCACTCCCTCCAGCCCTTGGGTGACTATCTCTGGCCGCAGGACTTCCCATCTCATCTTTCCCCACCTGGAAGGTAGCCGTTGGCCAAAGTAGATAAACTACTTAGAGGAAACTGTCTTTTTGTAACCCTTTATCCAGGTAGTTCAAGTCCCTGTTCTCTGGGATGCAAGGCTTCTGGCCACTGTAATGCCCTCTGTCTCCACCAGATGGGAGGAGTTCCTTGGCGTGAGTGTGCATGAGCCCCTCTGGTGTGTCTGAACCAGTGCTTCTCCTTGGCTGCACTGCCACAAACAGGCTCATCAAGTCAGATCATAGCACAAAGGGTTACAAGAACTCAGTGGGAGAACCCCCTTTGAGTTTCAATGTATCCGTCTCAAACTGGGGGGAAATAAGCAGAGTCTAGTGCCATTGGGGGAGAAGACTTATACAGGTGGGCCCATTAGAATCACTTGGCTCATTCTGGGTCAGCAACCTTACTCTTTGTGGCAGGAGAACTACTGAGGAAGTACAGCAGAAGGATAGTACTTGTATCAGGCAGATCTGGGTTCAAATCCTACCTCTATCAATTACTAACCATGCCGCTTAGGGCAAGGCTTGCCAGCCGGAGCCTCCTTTTCCCCACCTGTCAAATGGGGACAAATAATACCTACCTTATACATTCATGGTGCCTGGCACACGAACACCTCAGACCCCGGTCTGTTATCCGAAAGAGCCTATGGGTCTTGGGGTCTTCCTTTCCAGGCGGGCATTCTGGCTGGGGGCTGAGCACCCCTATCGAAGACCAGATCCAATCTTCGTTTGCCCCTGGCACCTACCTGGCCTTGGAACTGCCCCTCTAACCCAGGGGGAAATACAGTGCGGCAATGCAGAGGGACGTCCATCTTGGCCACTATCTTGCCAATCCTTTCCTGCATGGTCACACACTCGTCTGCAGACAGGAATCCTTCCAGAACCAGGAATCCATCCTCCTGGAACTGTAGGCAGGAATGAGACTCAGATTCCTGCCCTCAAAGCCTCCTTAAGACAACTGGTTTGATCCTTCCCCCAAACCAGCAGCTGTAAATATCTTGTTCATCGCTCTGTCCCCAACACTGGCATGGCATCTGGCACCCAGGGATGATCAATCAATACGGCTGCTTGAATGAAGGAAGCAGGAAAGGGAGGTGTTTCTGCTCTTCCTCTCCAATGGGCTTCAGTCACATGGGAATTCAACCTCAGTTATTTATTGAACTAATGTTGATGGAGCATCAATTTTAGGAGCTGAAGACACAGTAATGAGCAAGACAGCCATGATTCCTGCCCTCACAGAACTTACAGTCCAGTGAAGGAGACAGATAGTAAATAAATCATCATGCAAAAAACATACCATCATAAAATGTGCTGAGTGCACGGAAGGAAAGGGAGGGGGCTTCAAAAACAAAAGGTATATACACAAGAAATAGGGTTAATTTTGGTAAATGCTAGAACACATACAATTTTGTAATAAACAAAACTATATGTGTGGTTATATAGGTAGATATGTATGCATGTATGTGTATAAGAGGCATATGCGAGTAAATGCATGTGCATGTATACGTGTATCTGTAGGCATATGTATATACACATTTGTGTGTGCTCTATGTATCCCCACATATATAACAAAACACATAGGGGGCACAGTTTCGGAGGCTTCCTAGACATATGCAAACAACTCATGGGATTGGTTTATTGGGTTGAAAGGCATAGGACCATAGTCTCCAGGGACAACTTAGTCAATTGGCACAGCATAGTTCACAAAGATAATGTTCTACATCCTAGTTTGGTGAGTAGCATCTGGGGTCTAAAAAACTTGACAGCAACCACCTAAAATACAACTATCGGTTTCTACTCATGTGGAGTAAAAGGGAATGAAGCAAATCAAAGGCTCAAAGAAGAAACTAGCCCATAAGACTAATAGCCCACACGCACCATAGACTCTTCTAACTTGAACTCAGAAGAACTAGGTGGTGCCTGGCTACCACTTCTGACCATTCTGAGCAGGGAAACAATAGAAGGTCGCAAATAGAATGGGAGAAAAATGTAGAACAAAATTCAAATTCCTAAAAAAGGCCAGACCTACTGGACCGATAGAGACTAGAGAAACCCTCGAGACGATCGCCCTGAGATAACCTTTAAAGTTGGAAGTGAAGCTATTCCTGGAGGTCACCTTTTCAGCCAAATAATAAACTAGCTTATAAAATAAACAACATCACCCATGAGTAATCTGCTCCCTTAAATAGTCAACTATATGAGACCAAACAGTCAACATTTACCCAAAAGCAAAACTGAGAAGGCAAGGAGGGGAAGGGAAGCTAGATCAGCAGAAATAGAACAAACAAGAATGGAAATAATGAGAATGCTGACACATTGTAAAAATTGTAATCAATGTCATGGAACCTAATTTGCTATGTAAGCTTTCACCTAAAACACAATAATAAATGATACTGCTTCACACAATGGAATACCACGCAACGATAAGGAACAATGATGAATCCATGAAACATAACACAGAGGAATCTGGAAGGCATTATGCTGAGTGAATTCAGTCAGTCGCAAAAGGACAAATATTGTATAAGACCACTATTATAAGAACTCAAGAAAAGGGTTAAACACAGAAGAAAACATTCTTTGATGGTTATGAGGGTGGGGAGGGAGGGAGAGGGGTATTCACTCACTAGATAGTAGACAAGAATTATCTT